TCAGCCTTGAGAATTTAACTTTTCAAATATAGACAGCTTTAAATTTCTAAAGCTTTAAAGATAATAAGCGATATTGGTGGTTTTATATCGGTAAATTGTTGGAATTTTTAATTTTTGAATTGAATTTATTAAAAATTTCGAAATCAAAAGCAACTTGCGAAGAAAAAAGTCAATATAAATATTCATTTATTACAACCAATGATTGAAATTTAACTTATTTAACAAACAAAAAAACTTTTTTAATAAATATTCCACCACGACGACGACGACTAATAGACTAAAATTGAGACCGGTTTCTTAGAGAGTGGAGTAGGATGAAGATGTTAATTCAATTTTTTGTAAAACCTCCAAAGCATATACTTTCACCTCGGTGCCCGAACATTGTCATTGCGCCCGTTTCGCTTACCTAATGTACCTGGGTTTGCGAAACTGACCACTTGGTAGGTGTTAAATATTCTCTTTAGTCAATTATATTTTTGTGCATGAGTATTAGACTCATTATCTTGTAGAAATACTATAAGAGTATTATATACTGAAATATAAGATAAGCGTATTTCTTATAGTAAAGTTACTTACTATAAGAAATAAACCCTTCCGAACCACTCTGCCGTTAGTCAAGTATCATGTTTTTATAAATTGGATTACTAATGATGTTAAAGTAAAGCTCAAGTACAAGTGAAAATATTTTCTACAGGAACATTCTTTTTTCTTGTAAATCTAGTAATAACATTAATATTAACTAATGAAAATTATACCTTCTTCTCTATCCTACTAGAAATTAGAGTGAGATGAACAAACTAAAACATTACACTGCATAGCTAAGCTGCGTATAGATAATATGGTTTTCTTTTTGAGTTTCTTTTGTATTTGAACCTTTTGGAAATGCATTTACGCACGATGTGTGGGACTCACCGGCAAAGCCAGTACTACCCACTAAAACCCAACAAAGCCTTCCCCCGTCTTAATGAGGCGTCGCAGGATCGCTTACGCATTCAACTACGATGATTTTGTATTTGAACCTACCTCAAGCATGTTCATTAAATATATAAACATTTATAAAAAAGTTTTATATTGACTACTTAAAGAGAACTTGAAAAAAATTAAATGATTTTATTTTATTTTTAACTCATAGACAATTTTGTTTTAGCATGGTAATTATAGCTGGCAAGATTATCATTAGACAAATGCGACAATAATATTCTTATCATTTTAATTAAAAAAACAAGCAAAATATAATTAAAAAAGTGATTATTTTTTCAATAGCTACACATTATTTCTACATTACCTAACTTGAGGTCAAATCAATTATTCATGTTTGTTCAATGTAATACATATTTGCTGTACTAAGAGTAAAAACTTATTCACTTTATTGAAAATGCTATCAATAATTAACTACACTTAAGGACTGTGTCAATTCCTTTAAATATCAATTTCAATTGTATGATCAATAAAATCCATACACATAATAAAATTGTAACTAAGCCGAATCTGTACATTAAATATATTATTGGAAAATCTTATTGATATATATATTCCTAACGACTCAACCTTGCTTTGCTCGGGTTCATCCCTAGTTTAGTTCCCAATACAAACTTTCATCCCCATTTTCACCCCCTAAAGGGATGATTTCCGGGATAAAAAGTATCCTATGTCCTTCCCAGAGTCTTAAACTATCTTCTTAACAAATTTCATATAAATTGGTTCAGTAGATCCAGAGATTACCCCCTACAACGTCACAAACTTTACCTCTTTATAATATTAGAATTATAAATTATTGATACAAAAGCCCAATCTAGTTATAGAGTTTTTGTCTGTTTGTCTCTCTGTGACCGCATCACGGGAAAACACCTGTTGATGAAATTTGGTATGGTGATAGCTAGTTATATAGGATACTACAAGAAAATATCTCATCTCTGAGAAATCTATACTAAACATTAAAACGTAACTAGGGATGAACCGTAGCGAGCGGAGCGAGGGTGAGTCGCTAGTCATAAAATATATTTAAAAGTACACCTGTAGTACAATAATTATTATTTTAATACTTTTATATATTGAACTAACGACTCATACTCGCTTCGCTCGGGTTCGTCCCTAGGGTATGTATACAACTTCTCTATTTGCGACGGATATTATTAAATTTTTCATTGGTTTTAATTTTTTCGTGGGACCCTATATTTTTTTTTCGAAAATAAAAGTAGCCTAAGTTAGTCCATATTGCATCAGCTATCTGCCAGTGAAAGTCCCGTCAAAATAGGTCCAGCCGTTTCGGAGATTAGCCGGAACAAACAGACAAAAATTGTAAAAAATGTTGTTTTGATATATATACCGTGTATACATCCATATGCATTTAGTAAAAAGCGGTTATTTTAATATTACATACAGACACTCCAATTTTATTTCTATTATTATATTATATTATCTGTATTATAGATGTATTATTTTTCTGTTGGAAATAGAAAATGACAAGAAGATGTATTTTGGTGTTTTTGTAATACAGTTTAGTGTAGGTTAGGTCGTAATAATAACTCTTTATTCGTGGAATTTTCATAACATACATCCTAAAAGTGGAGAAATATCCACATTAATAGTATCTATAACCAATGGTTAATTTTTAAGAAATTAATTGTTAACTGACACACCGGTGTACCCATGGTCTTTGACAGATTAAATTGTTATAAGTATAGATTAATTTGGGTAAAAGTAAGATATTTACTTAAGAAAATAAAAATACATTCATTCCTCTTATCTGAATTCTAGGGGACTTTATAGTGTTATTCACTTCAAGTGTATTTTTTAAACATTGTGCTACCTCAAGTATTTTTTCTATTTTAATAATACCCAATTTAAGTTGTTTTAAATATATTTCTTTTTTAATTACAAGATCTCTTGTGTTTTTTATACAAGTTCAATAATAGAAAAAAAACCTTTGGTCAATCAACCACTTATAGATAGCAATTTATTAATGTTTTTTATTTTAAGAACAAGAGTAAAAGTCTACCCAGTTGTTTGTGCTTGTATTATTAAAGTTTAAACAGGTCTATTGTTATATATTTAAAATTGCTACAAACTACCTTTGTAGCTTTTTTAAGTTATGTATATATATTAGTATAGATATCTCACGGGATCTGTACATTTTTCTGGGATAAAAAGTAACCATGTGTTATTCCAGACTATAATCTATCCCTTTGCCAAATTTCATCTAGATCTGTTCAGCTATTCTGGTGTGATTGAGTAACAAACATCCATTACATTTACATTAAAGTGATTGATGGTATTGTAAGAAATAATATAGAAAAATTTACACAACTTATAAATTTTCAAATTTTGAATTGCATAATCACTACCAGACATAGGTTATCTTATAGAAAGCACATATATCTGTAAATAATTGCTTTTAAAATTGAACCTACCATTAGAGAATCTTTATACATTTTTAAGTATCAAATTTGATGGAAAATATTTCGGTCCTATTGTAATATAAGGAAAATATATACTAAATTGCAAAATCTGTTATTTGTACTAGATAAATAAAACAATAAAAGTAATTCTGTTAATATTGAAAGTAGTTATTTAATGATTAAAGAATAATTTCAATAAAACATTTAACTAAGGTTTTTGTCCATTAAAATTATTATTATTATTAAAAGTCCTAAGAATTTAAAATATTATTAGTATTTTCTAGATTTAAAGTATTTACTATCTGTTATTTGAGTTGATAGTCTAAATTTATATATACATATATTAAAAATATTAATCTGTAATTCAAGAAAATATATTTTAAATGTTTAAACAATGTCAAGTGTTTTAGACTATTTATCATATCCAATTTTATTTATTTTTATTTCATAGTATTGATAAATATTAAATTAATAACATTTTCATTATGACATAGTAAAATATAGCATAAAAGGTAAAGATCAAATCAAAATCTGTAAACTGTTTTTATTTAAATAAGTTCATTTGGTAAAAGGAAACATGTAGCGCCATCTATGAAAGGTTGATGTGATCATTATAATAAAAATCTTATTTATATAATTGCATGATTACTCAATTATTTTGAAGAATATCCTTTTCAATGATCTTTTATTTATTTAAAAAGAAAATGTTGCATATATGAATAAAAATAATGAAAATAGGAATTGTTACTGAATGGATTGTAGTGTAAATTTTACATATTGAGGACTGTTATAACTTATAAGCAAAGCTTGTAATTTCTGATGAAAAATAATTTTTGTATAAAAATGTGTCACATGGTAGTATAAATATGTTATAGTAATTAAGTTTAGGACTTGAAAAAAATATTAATAAGATATTGCTACAGTTTTATCAACAATTTCTAAATATAGTCACTTTTATTCAAAACAATAACGAATTTCTCTATTATAAAAAGATATTTTTATTATATTACTCTACTTACATATTATTATAAATTTTATTTGCATAATATTTTATTTCCACTGTTAGGAAATAAAAAATCAAAGTTGAAATTTGGCACAGTAATTACATCACTACAAATAACGTTAATATACTGAAGAAATAATTCGAATTTAGGGGCATTAGTATAAAAAACTTCTGAAATTGTTGTTTTATTTACGAACAATTCAGATGGGAACGATTTGTTTTTATCGCAAAAGTAGTCAATATTTTTTTAATAAAAATGGATAAGTATAATAATATCTGCGTTTAGGAAACTAGATATGATCAGAATTTATTTAAAGAAAACAAGAAAACTCTAATTATAGCCATATGAAGTGTAAATCTGTGAAAATAACACAGCAAAATTTCTAAATGTTGACGTGGCGTGACATTGTAAAGAACATATTTGTATCCATTAAATATGGGTAAACTATTAAAGAACCTAATTTCTTAATAGAAAAATTAAAAGAATTTGCAATAACATTACAAATTTGCAGTTTCATTTTGATTACTTGTAATATAAGTATGGCGCCTCTGACATTGTTGGCCTGTTTTGGTGTTAACAATATGGCGTAGGTACTTACCCTATTATTTTTTATGAAGTCTTCTATAGCTTTCAATGCTGAATCCGTTAATTTCACAAACACTAGTTCCTTGTTTTCTTTATAACTAGACTCCGATGATAACGCATACTGAACACCTGCTGGCAAGGCCGCCATTTCTTATTCACTATTCGCACTGTAGACCAGCTGACTCCTTTGCTAGCCGTCACGATTCATATCATTCACACATTTCTTAACGTAATCACAGATTCACAACCTATATAAAATTATAATTACAATAACAAAAGGGTTTTAGATGTCCAAATTAAGAAATTTTTGTAACCCCATCGACTCGGCCTTTGTTGGCAGCGCTCTTCAGTCTGCAAGGCCGCACTGACTGTCATGCGCAATGGCGCTTTTGACAGGAAACGCAAGCATTCACTGCAATAGTAGCGCCAAATTTAAATAAATTATGAAACAATGTTTTTGAAGGCTTTTATATTGATTATTCAATATTCATTTGATATTTCTACTTAAAATAGTATAGAAATATGTGACATAAAAAAATATTATCAAAACAAACTTAACACATATATAACAACCATAAAATCAATAAATTACTAAATAATATGTCTAATATTGTATGGTAGGTTGTAGTTTTTTGACAATAACTTTATGATTTATGTTTATATAATGATTCAAGTTTTACATTTCATATATTATGTTTATTGATATAACATTTTGTAGAACACAAACTTAGAATACTAGATAATAATACATAATTAGATAATTCATATTATTATTTCGTATTAATTGTAAAAAATATTTATTTATGATTTAGAAAAAGCTGAAGGTACTTTCAAGATAAAAAAAATAGAATATAATACATATCAAAGAGTATGTACCTATGTAACCCCTACGTTTTATTACATATTTTTCTGTATTTTTATTTAAAAAAATACTGGCAAAACTAAAACAGAACAGAATAAAAATATATTTATTCGTTCAAAAATGAAACGTAAATCTTATTTGTGAAAATATATAATTTTTCTATAAAGCATTCTTGAACTATTTTATTTCTTTGTAATCATATTATTAAATTTGTGTACATGTATATAAGTTTTGAATTGAACTTTGAATATTAATTCTTTTGCCGTTTGCCAAAGCTTTTAAAGTTAGAATTACTTTTTCTTCTCTGTGTAGTGTGCAATTTTTTGCATCCACTCAGTGTAGCCAGCTTAGAGGTTTTCCCCCAAATTTAGGGGGATCATTTTTTTAGGTCTTTTTTGGGCTTTTTTCTTTAAAAGCATGACTTAAATATAATTTATTATATAATTAAATTTAATTTATAATATATAATTTTATTTATAAATAAAAGATTTTTTTCTAAATAATTAACTTTTCAAATATGTTCTCTGTGATTGTTAAATTTATAATAAACTACGAAGCATATCCTTAACTTTGATTTTTGTAAATGATGAAACTTTTTGATGAGTTGACTATTTTAATTTTTGAATTATTTTATAATAAAATATATGATATCTGGTGGTGAACCGCATAATGCCATAATTGGTTACATTTCTGAGTTTGTTTTGGTAGCCAGTGTAGCCAACTTAGAGGCTTTCCCTCCAAATTTAGGGGTAAAAAAATGGCACCGGGGATTTTTTAGGGGGAAACAATATTTCGTCATTTTATTAGGGGTTTATAAAGTTTCGGAAGACTTGGAAAAATTATATCATTTTTTTTTATTAATTTCTAAGTTATCTATGGAATTTTAAATGATTATATCTAATTATTATAATAATAACCATAAATAAGTTTTTTACGCTACTTGTAATTATTTAAAATAAAAAAATATATTTAAAAATTAAAAATTATTAAATAAAAACCTATATTTTTCAAATTGTCACAGGGGTTTTAGGGGTTTTTGAAATTACTTTTAGGGGGATAAACTTTCAATTGTTGGCAGCACTGTATCCACTTCATCAGTGACAATTTGACAACTGACAACGTACGCATACTCATAGGTTAGATTTTAGAATATTATTTCAAATAATTACATCAGCAAAAGATTTTACTTTGCTATTTTTATATTTTGTATAGATATTAAGAAAAATTGAAATAAGTAATGACTTACATATTTTTTTACATCATAATATACTTATACTTGTGTGCATATTGTAATACAATATTAAAATTTAAAACTAGTTTATGCTGTTAAAAGTAAATACACTTCCTAATTTTTTTTTATTTTCTTATTCTAGGACGAAAACTCTACATAATGGCAAACTGGGAAGAAAAGAAGAATCTCATAACACGAAATTTACAAGAAGTGTTAGGTGATGAAAAGCTTACAGAAATTATAAAACAAAGAGATTTAAAAATATATTGGGGTACTGCTACTACTGGCCGACCTCATATAGCCTATTTTGTACCTATGTCTAAAATTGCAGATTTTTTAAATGCTGGGTGTGAAGTAACAATCCTATTTGCTGATTTGCATGCTTATCTTGATAATATGAAGGCTCCATGGGATTTACTTGTCTTACGCACAGAGTACTATGAAGCTGCAATCAAAGCAATGCTAACATCAATTGGTGTACCTTTAGAGAAATTGAAATTTGTAAGAGGTACTGAATATCAACTAAGTAAAGAATATACTTTGGATGTGTACCGTATGTCATCTGTTATAACAGAACATGATGCTAAAAAAGCTGGAGCAGAAGTAGTAAAACAAGTTGATCATCCACTACTAAGTGGTCTTCTTTATCCTGGATTACAAGCTTTGGATGAAGAATATTTAAAGGTAGATGCCCAATTTGGTGGTGTAGATCAGAGAAAAATATTTACCTTATCTGAGAAAATTCTGCCTCAATTAGGCTATGCTAAAAGAGTTCATCTTATGAATCCAATGGTGCCGGGTTTGACAGGAGGGAAAATGTCTGCTTCTGAAGAAGATAGTAAGATTGACTTACTAGACAACCCAGCAAATGTTAAGAAAAAGCTAAAAAAAGCTTTCTGTGAACCTGGGAATATCATTGAAAATGGTGTACTATCTTTCACAAAGTATGTAATATATCCTTTGATGAAATCTAATGAGAAATTTGTAATAAATCGAGCTGAAGAACATGGTGGGAGAGTTGAATATTCTAATTTTGAAGATTTGGAAGCTGCTTTTGCTAAACAAGAAATTCATCCAGGAGATTTAAAAGCATCTGTAGAACAGGCGATTAATAAACTTCTAGCACCTATTCAAGAAATATTCAAGGAACCTAAACTTCAAGAATTGACAAAGAAAGCTTATCCACCACCATCAAAAAATAAAGGAAATACAAACAATGCCGCTGAAGAAATAACACCAAGCAAATTAGATATTAGAGTGGGAAAGATTGTTGAAGTATCCAGGCATCCAGATGCGGATGGTCTATATGTAGAAAAGATAGATGTTGGAGAGAGTGAACCTAGAACTATTGTCTCTGGGCTAGTAAATTTTGTACCCATAGAGGAAATGCAGGATAGGGATGTTGTTGTGTTATGCAACTTAAAACCTGCGAAAATGCGAGGTGTTGAATCTAAAGGCATGGTACTTTGTGCATCTGTGGATGAACCAAAACAAGTTGAAGTTCTATCACCCCCAAAAGAAAGCTCACCTGGGGACAGAATAGTTGTTGAAGGTTATGAAACTGGTCAACCTGATGAGGTTCTAAACCCAAAGAAAAAAATATGGGAGAAACTTCAGGTGGATTTAAAAACAAATGATAATTTAATTGTAGTATGGCAAGGCAATAAACTAATCAGCAAAGTAAATGGAAATCCAGTGACAACTAATTCTATGAAAAATGCACCTATCAAGTAATTTACAGTACTTATAAGTGACACTTGTTCTGTATGATTATTTCAGGCTATTGATATAATATTGCATTGCATTTATTTATGTTTTGTTTCAAAATTAAAGTATATTTATTATATTAATATGTTTATTTATTACTCTGTATAAATGTATCTTGTATTTAAATGACTTGTGACTGTTTAATCTCTTAGAAAGGTTCATTAAATTAGTCCTAATTAGTACTTAACTAATTAGCATTAAATCTGGTAATTAACGGTGGATTCATGAGATATAATTTAAGGGTTCACACTAATGAAAATTTTAAGTATGTATAGGGCGAAGCATCGTTAAATCATTCTATTTCCATATCGATAAATGAGTGATGTAGCCCCAATCAAAAAGTGTTCATATTAAATAACAAAAAAAATATTTAAAAACATTGAAAACTTATTCATATGCATAAGTATGAATGTTAAAAAACTATTATAGGTATTAAAAGATATGAATTATAATGTTGTTATTATATGTTTCATTGTTATTATGTATAAATTAGATATTTAGTAAATCTGAAGCCTATGTTCATTCTTTTGTTTTCTGAAGCAAATGTCTATTATTTGGATAGGACATGTAACGCCATCTAGAATTATTAAATGAAATTAACACGTAAGTCGACACAAGACATTGCTATTGCAAAATAAGAAAACAGATTTCCAGTTACTCTTTTAGGTATTTCTAAAAATACAATCATAATATTTAGATCTTATAATAAAATCATCAAGATTTAATTTTTATTTTCAAGTATTTATTTACCTTTCGAAATTTTAGAATTAACATGACACTTTAATATATTTATAATTTTTCCTATTTTTTTTACGATATATTGTTTTAACGTTTAGTATAGATTTCGCAGAGACGAGATATTTTCCCGCAGTAAAAAGTATCCTATACTCGAATAACCAGCTATCATCATACCAAATTTCATCAAAATCTGTCCAGTGGTTTTCTTGTCATGCGGTCACAGACAGACAGACAGACAGACAGACAAACATTCTAAAAACTATGGATTCAGCCTCTGTATCGATAATAATATCTATTACAATAATATTTTCCAAAAAATATTTAATGTACCTACAGATTCGACTCAGAATTTCATTATATCTAGTATCTAAGATAAGTACTTACTTTCTTTACCTGTTTTAAACGTGTTACTCATAAAACGTATCACAATTATTCACATATTATGAAAAATCGGACAAGTGCGATTCTTGCTCGCACATTGATAGTTCCGTAGCATGAAAAATTAAAATAAGTTTATAATCGTAAAACATATTTTTTGTGAAATATAAACTACAAATATACTGTTCTCAGATTTTTTCACTTATTTCTGCGATAAGACCACGCGTCTTGCCAATTTCATGATTCTAGATTAACGGGATTCCGGACCTTATAGGTTTTAATTTCCTTGAGCGTGTTAAAAAATGCGGCATGAACGGCCATATCTTTTAATTGCGTTGACTTAGAAGTTTGATTTTTTTCACAGCCCCAAAGGATTGCAGACCTGAGAATCCTACTAATATTATAAACGCGAAAGTTTGTAAGGATGTATGTATGGATGTATGTTTGTTACTCTTTCACGCAAAAACTACTAAATGGATTTTAATGAATCTTTACAATACTCATACATCAGAATAACACATAGATACATTTTATCCCGGAAAAATGTACGGTTCCCGTGGGATAGATTTGTTTTTGTTTGTCTAGAGGCGAACCTGAGCGCAGCGAGGGTGAGCCGCTAGTTTAATATTAATTTCAACTTTATACCTCCGCGCGTTCCTCAGAAAAAGGGCCTTCACAGGCAGACAGACGGACAAGGAAGTAATCTTGTAAGGCTTATTTTTTTCCTTATTAAATAGGGAACCCTAAAAATATTACTTACCTATTTCATACCAATTAATCCGTTAAATTACAGAGCTTTTTACTTTCTCATAGATATTAAGCTAACAAGCGCAATATTAAAAAGGATGACAAAGAGCCTACTAAGCTAGACTAATCATAATTGCAATATTCTCTTTATTCAGCAAGTATTTACGAACGCAAGAAAATTATTTCACATTTTTCGCGAAGACATGTAACCTGTGTGATGATGCATAATATGTTTTTCATGCCTAAATTACTAGACGCAATTTTTAATATTTTACTGAAAAGATATACTTTTTGTTGGCAAATAGATTTTCATTTGAGAAGAAATTTGTTTAACCCATATGTTAATACCCAATGTTACAGACGCTGTTTAGCTCCCAGGAACAGGGGGTACCCATCCATTCAAACCGGGGTACCCACTTATTATAATATTCAAATCTGTATAAATATTATATATAAATGTGAAAGTTTGTGAGTATGGATGTTTGTTACTCTTTCACGTCAGAACGGCTAAACGGATCTGGATGAAATTTTTCACGGAGATAGATTATAATCTGGAATCTGAATAACACATAGGCTACTTTTTAACCCGGCAAATGTACGGTTCCCGTGAGATAGGTTTGTTTTTGTTTTCCTACAAGCGAAACCCAGCGAAAACGAGGGTGAATCACACACCAAACATACACACAAAAAACGTACAATCTAATTGAGACTTTCTGCTTTTTAAAGTAGGACTATGAAGTTCATTTTAGTTAATGTAACTAATTACCTACATGTCAATATACGTTAGCTTAGTTAAAATAATACCTAGTTATTAGGTTGAATTAAGTTTCGATTCATTAGATGATAGTAAAACCTCTTACGCTCCTAACACGAGGAAGCAACTTTAACTTAGCGTTTAATTACGATTGGTTTAGTAAGTATGTACATATTTGAGTAACTCATTAAAGCTCTTTCTTTGTACTTTTCGGGTTATTTGGAACATTGTGTATTCGAAATTAAATATTAAAATAGACCAATAAGCAATAATAATTATAGTTAAATTCTTAAAAACTAAGTATAGATAGAGCTGATGCAAAGCAAATCTAATATATTTCGATACGTAAAATACATATTTACCTATTAGATATTCATATCTTAAAATATTGTAGGGTGGCACCGACTTCGAAAATATCTGATTAGGTATCTATTTTAAATGAAAACCCTGGAAGTCGGTTTTATTTTTTGTTAAAAAGTGTTTATTTTTCCATTTTTAATGTAGACTTAATAAACAAGTAATTTGTAAGAAGAAAGTTTTTTAACACCATATTCGATTAAACAATTTATAAAAAAAAATTGTTGATTTTTTAAAAAACCGCTCGACCGATTTCGATAAAATTTATATGGGACCGATTGGGAAGTATACCCTTTGAAACAAAATCGGTTCAGGCGTCCTCGAGTAATCGGTGAAGATACATAAAAAAAAGATTCCGAAGAATTGAGAACCTCCTCCTGTTTGGAATTGGAAGTCGGTTAATAAAGAGGTAAAGTTTGTGATATTATGAGTTTGTGAGTTTGTAACGTTGTAGGGGGTAATCTCTGGATTTACTAAACCGATTTAGATGAAATTTGGTAAGAAGATAGTTTGAGACCCTGGGGAGGACATAGGATAATATATTTATCCCGGAAATCTATAGGTATATTATAAAAATATTTAAAATTATTTTTATCCGAATATTTATAAATTTTTATCCCGGAATTATCCCTTAAGGGGATGAAAGTTTGTATGGGGAAGCAAGCGAGGGACGAACCCGAGCGAAGCGAGGGTGAGTAGAATTAAAGAAAACATTGATGGGTCTAGGAGAAAATCGTTTGTATTGCTGGTACCTACAAACTTGGAAAGAATTTGTTTAGTAGCTTTGCTGGCCTCGAAAGTAAAAAATCATGGAAGTCGATATCTTTTAACCTAACTCTAACAGTCGCGTTATTTGAAAGTTTATAAATATATGAGATATCGTTTATGTTAAAGATTTAATTTATTACTCGGATCAATCTTTGCTATACATACTATATACCTTTTACTACAGGGTTTCTCATTCTCATAGGAAAACACAATAACTGGTTCGGCCGAGTTGAAATTATTAGTAGAAGAGTTAAAAAGTAATATTTAATTCGGAAAAATTTCTCAAAATTCAAAGTTTCTCATCTACATACATACGTACATACATACGATATGATGTATATATATGTAAGTATATCATACATAGTATAAAACAAAATCGCTGTGTCTCTGTTTTTCTGTTTACTTCTAACGGATTTTGGGACAGACGCAATATCTATACATCAAAACAATGTACTAGAAAGTTATAGGTCTTACAAAGGCCTACACAAAAGTCCCAGGTAATATGTCTCTGCTTACAATAATTATTTTTATCTATTGAAAATGTACCTAGGGAAGGGGCGCACCCGAGCGAAGCGAGAGTGAATCGCTAGTTCCGAATAAATATCTGTTTTGTGAAGTTAAAAATTTTGAACCATCTTATTGTGATACATAGTCAGGTAATTACATAATACGTTTGCACTTACGAGTACGTTGCTCATGATTTACACTTTACAGTCAAATCATATTTTTTTTACTATTTATACATCATATTTAGTTACTCCTTTCTATATTAAGTTAGTGGGGCCTTAGTTAACACAGTGAAAGAAAACAAAAATATTTTCTTCTTCCATAGTATTAACGTATATGACGACTAGGGAGAACAGAGATTAGTGCATTGTGTAGGTAGTCTATAGTCTGCACAAATTACAGGATAGTTCTAGTATGCGCTGCGGTGTTTGGTGTCTGAAGAGTAAGCAGGGAGTCACGGGGATACGAGGGGTGCACACCGGCGGGGTGGTAGTTAGGCTTTCATTATATAGCGGTTTTTTCAAACTTTGCATTTGGGTTCAACAGTAACTGCGTCAAACCTTTGCTGCAATAAAGTCCTCGTCAACTAGTAATTTCATAGAATTACCGTACAACCCTTTATTATAGTTACTGAAAAGTTTTATATACCTACTTGGGTAATATATTTTTATAACCAGTTAAACACTACTTAAAATATTTTTACAAATACACTAATAAGCCGTTAATAATAAGTTTTAAGCGAGATATTTTTAATTTTATAGTACTTATTTACCAACAAATAATGTAAACCATAAATTGCTTCTGAACCAACGAGTCACGTCGCAATTTCGCTGGATTATTCACACAGCGATATACTCAGACATATTTTGTAACTTTTAAAACCAACGCTGTAATAAAGCAATAAGCGCTAAAATTAAATAATATTCTATAAATTCAGTCAAGGTAAATGAACTCTATGCTTGCGAAGTCCTAAAAAATAGCATTAGCTTCTAACAAAATTAAAAAAATAAAATACATTTAAGGTATTTCCCATACGAATAGCTCATTTGTGCTCTGTTTACATAGACTGAAGGTCTAAAACAACGTTAGGATAGGCATTGAGCAGTCAGCAACAGGAGACAGCGTGAATCATAATAGAAATGCCGCGGACAGTCCCCGAGGGAATGAATAGCATTAACCCATAAACCGCTTGAAAGAGTTCACTATATAAGTAGTTGAGTTAAAGCGCAACTGAGTTGTATAGCTACATGAAATGCACGGATAAAATTAGATATTCAATAACGGGAAGGGGGTTGGGGGTCCGCCATTTTGGAACTTCGGTCGGGCGAGGGCTACCGGCGAGGGGGACTGCGCATGCGTAAACTGAGCACCCGCACCCTGTCTGTAGGGCCGGGACCTTACCGAATGTGATGTCAAAAAACAAGTTATTCTCTCCCCTCATTCCACTAACCTAGTACGTCTTAATAAGAGGGATTAATGAATAATGCCCTGATTTCTGTGTGTCGCCGGTGATGTGCTGTATCGACTATCTAGCCGCAAATATTCACAGGGAGCGCAGTTTTAACGAGACGTTTATCTTGTGAACAATGACAATGAGTGGGTGATTCAATAGTGATTTATTACGTTATCAATTCATTCGATGGCTCAGAAGGATTCGTTTTATAGTTAAGTGTTCGCGACACTGTCGTAATTATTAAAGTAATACTGTTAATGTTTTTGTGTTTGAGTGAATCGCTTTGTGTGGGGCGCGACTTCTGCGGTGAACGAAATATAATGGGATGACAGGAAATACGGATTCATGGAAAAGGTTTGGCGTCGAGTCGGGCTCCATTCCTCCCGAAAGAAAAGGGATGGAAGTGGGACTAGCAGTCAAGTAACGTCAGCACCGCCGCCGGAAGCTGAGTATCAAAATATTCATACACTACGCACAGCTGATCTGATCAGGCAGAGACAAGGGGAAGAGAAATCGACGCTTCGTTCGTCGTATATTATTCGTAACGGTGACAATTTCATTTTGGTTGAGAGAAGGCGACGAAGACGACGCAGGAGTGGCACCAGGGCTTCATCAGGCGGGAGGCACCATACTCCACCTGTGGAAGAAAACACTCGCACTGAACAGAAGCGTCGTCCTCCGGCTAAATTGAAGATATTTGGTATCCAATGGCCATTGCATTCCAGTGATTCGAGGCAAGTAAAATTTATTGATAATCACTTAAAAAAATTAAAAGGTTCAACATTTCCAGTTTGGTCAAATATAATAACATGCTGGTGATTGCCTTCATAGGTAACATTCGACTTTTGTAAAACTGTAATCTTGTCCGATGAACGCAGTCAATCGAATTGATTGCAAAGCACCGATTAAATAATGAGGTTTTAATTGTTAATTGTGTAAATATGCTTAGTAATAATTAGTCACTAAGCTAATGCTTTAAATAAACATTTCTATTACCTAATTCCTATATTAATTTCATAATTGAACGTGGCTTAATAAAAGTGAAATAGGTATACATGCTATTTACTTATATGAATATTACGTCGATTTCATTACATAAGGACTTCTGTGTGTACTTATAAAATGAGGAATTAATTTCATTTAAGTGTATGAGTAAAGTGATGAATAAATTGCCTAAAAACTAATACAAATTCAAATATCCAATATATTTCCTATTGAACATACCTATAGGTATAGTGCTTACTTATTATGTCGCCGCTTAGGATTACTTTATTATAAAAGAAATACCTTAATACGATGTTCATATATGTAGATAAACAATACAGATAGTATGATTATGGAGGACGAATTAAGTTAAAAAGTAGATAAGTCAAAAATAAAGTTTTTTTAGTAAAACTTGTTTGGGCCGTATCTATCAATAATTACCTAATTAAACATTAATTCCTTTATTCGCGAGATGATGTTGGTGAATTATAAAATATTCATACACATTTTAAATATACGAGTACATTCTATTTCATCTTCTCACACTACTTTGCAGGGTTAGTGAGAACTTCGTTTGTACTTGTTTTTCTACTATAATTACTGAAACCATTTCTATTATATACGTGGCAGACGTACCATGGTGTTGAAATATTATAATTAAATGAAAATAGTATAATTATTGACCTTGCATGGCATCGAAATCATAACAAATAGACATATCTCAGTAACAAGCATTTTTTAGGATTCTCTACCTTTACGTAGTTCATCTAAACCTTAAAGAGCTACACTTTTGGCTAAGAAAAGTAGCTAATTGAGTTTGTTTTATTAATTATAGTATATAAAAACCTTAAACTAAAACAACAAAATATATCAATAACAGGTTGAATTCAAGTAACATTCGCGCTAAGGGCCTCCACCGATATTCAATACCGCCCCGGGAGCTGAATACGGCTCGCACTTGACCGATTTTATTTATTTTCTTAAAAATACCTACAATAGAATGAGTGCGGCTGTATGCAGATACGAACTGCGGAAACCGCATAAAGCGTTTGTTTTTTACCTCTACCTATTCGAAAATTGAATTATACTTTACTCTTATTTCAAACATTGTACAACTCACCTGTATTTTTTTTTTTATTTAAATAATTATTTGTATAGACCATTAAAAAAGTATATATTCTGTAAAAAGATTTAAATATTTTTTTTATAAAATTTTAATTAAGTAAAATAATGAAAAATATTACTTTTCAATATTTTTCAATTTAATGTAGCATCATTCTGGTACAACTATATGGATTTCAATTAGTTTTTTTTATTATATAAATGTGTTAGTTGAGTAGTACCGATTGCTTTAGTTTTATTAGCATTCTATATACTCTTAAGCAAAGCAGGGGTTATATCGTAGAGCTAAATAGCAACGTAAGCGAACTCGTTTGTGTATTTTTTTCTCCAAGATAATTACCTACTTTATAGCTTTAAGAAACAAAACTCATTAATATTCCTCACTAGTACATTCGTAATGCATAGTAGACTAACATCAACTATCTTATTTACGGGTCACTTGTTGATAGAAATTCGTTTCGAAGTGAAATAATGGCGGTCCGCGATAGCGTGTTAGTAAACATGGAGTTAGTCTGACTAGGTTTTACTAACTTAGTTGGCTTCACCTATTTTAAAATAAAAAAAACAGATTATTGAGTGGTTTCTATAAATCTAAGTAGGTACATGAAGTATTTTACATTAGTTTTATTGTTATTTTAAACATTAGGTACATATCTTTTATTGGGAATATAACTATTAATACTATATTACAGACTATATTAGATATAGATTTATCTTGATTTATTCAAGTACCTTGAATAACCTTGAGTACCTAATGGTTGATAATACGTTCCCCCCAACGAGCGTTCACCTTATCGTGGCGGGGGGCTCAGTAGTACCCGGCAACCCAGCCGGGCGCGAAGCCAAGAAACGCACAGGGAGGTGGCCCACTTCGGTGGGCGGTGGGAGGTTGCCCTCTTCGGTGGGTGATGTACCATGTGGGTTGCTCCTGGTACTTCTCTGATAGCAGAGTGGATCTTGGAGCAACCCCATGGTTTTTGTGGTCTGCTTCGGCAAACCTGCCGTCGGGGCGTCGTAGTTGAATTAAGACGGGGGAAGGTTTTGTTGGGTTTCAGTGGGTAGTACTGGCTTTGCCGGTGAGTCCCGCACCTCGTGATGAAAAAATGGTTGATAATACGTTTTCATATTCATTTGAAATATACTATGTCTGTACAGTCTACATACATCTGTACACAATTTTCCATACAACAAACAGTTCATTAAGTCTTGTTTAGCATATCTCTTAAGTCTTATTACAATAATAAACGTATTTATGTAACATTTTCAATCTAGTTCTTTAGATACTTCAAAAGGCAAGCGACAATTTTCTTACATTTCATGACACACTTTATACCTTTCAAACTTCGCAAATATTATTCGTATTTAAAATTTAGCATTAAGTGCTTTAATTACGTAGTGATTGTTCTCAACAAGAACTAAATTAAAAACTCTTTAACATTAATAGGTTGAATCGGAGACTATTATCGAAACGCTAATTTACATTTATACCAGTTCGTATACACTGTTTTTGCATTATTTCTTATCTCTAGCAGTTATAACTCATATTTTTGCATTAATGAATTTCTACACGGGGAGCTCTTGTTACAGCCTATAAACATTTAAGGGGGATTCATACCAGTACTTTGAGATACCATATAATTCATTGCGAGTTGTATTTCACCGTGAGCAGGTTTCCAAGATTTATTTAAAAAAAATTCTGCTATAATAAAACAATTCGTAATAACTATAATAAAACGCTCTATTTTTCGTTGGCACGGATAGTGCCATTAGTTACGAGCACAAATGAAACTCGATTGACCATTCCTCGCATGAAACGAAAAAAATGTGTGTTTGTACTTATGTACGCACGTAAGAAGTTATACTTCTTTGGCGTAACAGAACAAGAATAGCTAAGATTTCATCCTGTATGTCACACAACACTCTGTTTGTAAAAGGAATGCAGCTAACTTCATCATGTCTCTTTCAGATAACTTCATCATGTCGCTTTGTGGCTGTCGGTGTGCGCGCGCATCGTAAAAATATTACTCTCATATTTTTATCCAGACGTGCCAAAAGAACTATAACTTCAAAAATATGTAATTACTATTATTATTTTTTTAGTTTCGCGGCGCAACCTATAATTTATCCATTGTGCTAATATTAACATGTATATTGTATAGTATGAAATGGATCATCAGATCTGTTTTTTAGGATTAATTCTGATTTTTTCCATAAGATTCTTTACTAATTTTATACTCGATACTCATTAATCATCTGTTTAGAAAAGTTCGTATACCTCCATGAAGTATTATTGGGAAACTAGAAGTGTTAAGTTTACTCTTATTATTATAAGTCACTCGTCTCAAAGGTTACTACCAATGAACCATCGGTTTTATATTGTTTCAACACTAGATACAAAAACATTTAATTAACCTACATATTTTTATACCAAGACTTATTTATTTTCCGGAACCTTTTTACTGTAAGTATACTCTACATTCATATCTTAAGTACTATCGATTTTCATGGTACTCGGAATGAATGGACGCATCACGTATCATATCGTACGTGCAGCCGATGAGTTTCCAGCTGGATGGATTTATTTTTTGTATATTTGAAAATGTATAGGCTTAGGGAATAAAAACTTAAAAAATACATAATATGTATTTATTAACTAGCGGCTCATCCTCGCTTCGCTCGGGTTCGTCGCTAGATACGTTTTAAATAGATATAAATAGTTATTAGCCAGCGTTCGCCATATAAATTGTATTTTTTTCGTTAATTTATTTTTTTCTCTTTATTAAAACTTCCCGTGGACCTTAAGGTATATATGAAAAAAAAAATTGCCGAATTGGTCCAGCCATTCTTGAGTTATGCGCTTACCAACATTCATTTTTATTTATATATACATAGATAGAAAAAATAGAACTAGTAAAGTTCATATTGTAGTTACGTTAATAGAAGCACAATTAAATTGGACAAGGTACATACAAACCAAACAGGAAAAAAAAACATAAATATTATATTATCGGGGTCAGTGAACTAGTCTCTATGGAGTAAACAGTTCTAAGAAGTGAAACTCTATACATTAAACATATATTTAGGTATTTAATGTTGCAAAATATAGGTTAGAAGTTGGTTACTCAAAAATTCAGATCAATAGTAAATTGTTTATAAATATAAGAAGTAAAAGAAAGAGGATCATGACCAGGTTTTGAAACCTCTATATGGAAAATATTATAAAATTATATCTAGCTATGCATAAAAAGGCGAATCTAGCAAGCCAATCGATATCTATGTATTATGGGACAGGTCATTCACTCACTTGAAGGCTACAATAACAAAAATACAGATCAAGATCTGTAATACTGATATTTGACCGATAGGTAGTTTATGGGTAGGAGATGCTAGCTAGGATTTTTTTATGGTATTCAGCGACAAACGAGCAGACAGCCCACCTGATGGAAAGCGGTACCTGTCGCCCATAACACCTACGGTTCGTGCACTTAGGTTTTATGTTACAAAAATGCAGAACCGCAGGTGCGTTGTCACTGTGAGGACTAAGATGATATTATGTCTCCTGTAATTGCGCTGGCTACCTTATCCTTCAAACCGGAACACAACAATGCAATCATTGTTGCTTGGTGGGAGAAATAAGGGGGTGGTACCCATCCAGCCGGACTCCTCAGGCTTGACAGAGTCCTACCACCGGTAAAATTTTGGAATAGACTGAATTAAGGCTTACCTAAAGGCTATCTTAAATTTTATATGATCATTGAGAGTCCTACGTTTTGCTTCTAGAGACATAATAAATCGGAGAACGATGATGAGAGTCTGACTCGCACATCGGGTCCTTAGCATGAAATATTAAAACGTTTTGTTCTAACATACTAAATATAATTTCGGTTAGATGCACAGACGGACATGACGACGGAGCCCTAAAAATGACTAATAACTAACAATAATATTATAAAGTCAAAAGATACTTTGTTTTTTTGAACGCGCTAATCTCTAAAAGTTTTCATAAATTCGTCTTGCACTTTATAGCCTTAAATAGGTTTATCAGTAAAGCTAAGATTAGATCTTATTTCACGCTACGAACTTAGAAACGGCAATACCTAAATAAACTATGCGAGTAGAGCCGGGGACAGAAGCTAGTATTTCCATATAACCAATATAAATATTTTATATACATATTATATTCAATAAGAAATCCCTTATACCATATTTCAGGCACACTTCAATAACCCGTCGCTTTTGTCGCGGGCGCCGTTCCAGAGAGGACAACGAGCTTTACCGCTCCAATAGTTTCAAGTTCGAGAGATTCGCGCGCGAGCAACCTGCGGACGAGTTTAGCACTGGATCACAGGTAAGATACTTAAGATACCATACTCCCTCGCTCTTTTTGTTTTCGCTGAAGAAAACTTATACTTTTACTCAATGAAACCTCCGAGAAACTCTTATAGAGACAAAACATGTACGTAGTTACGTTTATGTATGGCACAAATTAAACGATTTCTGCAATAGATATTGCTAATAGAAAGTTTTAAATATATCAGAACTATATAGGTACATAAATTGTTTAGAACTGGTAACTACTTTACATAATGCTATGTGTCTCTTCCGTTAAACTAAAACTATTTGTTCCATATATGTCGAGAAACTTTTTTTTGATAACATATGTAAAATCAGTACCTACAGTTTTAATATTAGGCAGAATAATTTAGTTAAGTCATTACATAAAAACAAAAACAAATAAAATAAATGATGAAAAATTGTATTGAAAATTGTTTTTTTTTCAATTATGGGTAGTACATATTTATGTATCTACTAGTGATTCACCCTCGCTACGCTCGGGTTCGTCCCTAGGTTACTTCCCAATACAAACTTTCATCCCCATTTTCACCCCTTAAGGTATGATTTCCGGGATAAAAAGTATCCTATGTCCTTCCCAGGGTCTCAAACTATCTTCTTACCAAATTTCATTTAATCGGTTCAGTAGATCCAGAGATTACCCCCTACAACGTCACAAACTCACAAACTTTACCTCTTTATAATATTAGTATAGATAGATTACGTACATACTGGTATTTATTCATATAACTTTCAAATTAAGCTTCAGTCAATTATAACTTGCTATCCCTTATGTTAAGGTTGTATTAATCGAAGTCTCTGTGTTACTACTGCTAAGAGGAAAATAAACAGATTTAAACTTTTATAAGTATATAAAAAATATAAGAATAGAGACCTCTGCACTCTACTACGCTACATGGGAACAGTTTTTCACGTAGGTATACCTGTTAAGCGTAACTGAAGAGTTCTTAGCTATGAAAGCAGCTTTATGCTCTTTCCACATTTACACACCTTTTTGAGTCATACGGCTTAATTTTTTAAGGTTAAAAAAAGGTTTAGTAGTTAAAAAAGTTTTTATAGTTCATTATGTAATCAAAAGGTTTAAACTTTAACTGGTGGTAATTATTAAATTTTCTGTATGCAAAATCTTATGTATAACCAATAGAACCTGTAATATCCCACTGATTAGGCAGAACTAACTAGATATGTATAATGTACGAGTATATGTGATTATGTGCCATACTATATAAAGCTAGTAACTAAGCTCCATATAGCTAGTTGACTATTTACAATGTACATAATATGTATGTATAGATATTTATATGTAATGAACGGAATTAAATTTTGATACAACATAACCTTTTGTTTAGATACGTTATTCTTATTTCCATTTTTTGTCTTCAATGTCAATATATGTGTATATGTACCTATATACTTAGACGATAAAGAGGCGATAGATATGAATAGCCATGTGTATAGGTACATATATATACACGTGTACCTATACACATAGGCAATATTATTATTTACTGGCTTTCGCTTCGCTTTGGCTCTCCTTTCAAGCGACAAAGCATATGAAACCGTAACTTTCTCAAATTTATTTTATTCCCTGGACACAAAGCAGCAGCAACTTTTGCTCTTAATTAATATGTACTTAGGCGCGGTCGAAAGTTAAAATTAATTAAACCGCTATTCTTCCTCTATTTATCCCGTAGGAATCCTTTTCTTCTCCAAAATAAATTCCTTCCATCCTTTCATCTGAATCCTTTATTCTATACTGAAAGTAAGTCTTATGTTATATGTTAAGTTTTAAGGTATTTGATATGCAAAATTCTATATAATACTAGCGACTCACCATCGCTCCGCTCGGGTTCGTCCCTGGGGTGGGGTCTGGGAGGACCATCCTTATCCTTATCACTTAGGGGTATGTAAAATAGATAGTAGCCGATTCTCAGACCTACTGAATACGCATATAAAATTTGGTAAAAATCGGTAAAGCCGTTTCGAAGGAGTACGGTAACTAACATTGTGACATGGAAATTTTATATATTAGATTATGCTCTTAATATAGATTAGTTATTTTCAAATTTTATAAAGTACCTAAATTTTATTTATTAGTATAAAGTACAACGTCTTTATATGTATAAAGTATAGATTTTGTATTGGTAATTGAAATCCTTAGAAATCCTCGGGTTACGAAGTGTCGTCTTATAAGGATGCGTTCAGCGTGAAAGCGTAGCACTTATCTAGATGACTCATCTCGCACACAAAGCGCTCGTTTCATGCTTCCTTGAGATTCCCGTAAGTCACTTTAATGTGGGAGGTTTGGTTGAGTGTCAATATTGATACGGAATTTTATTATTGTGATAATATTTTTACATACGCAATATTTCAATTTGCTTTTCATCTTAAATATTTTTAAATATTACATTTATTATTAATCTATTTATTGAAATATATATACCTATACCTTGTAGCATTTTTCATCTTTAATGTATGGAAGAAAGTAATACATATTATTATAGTTAGCCTGTACTCTGTACTGAAATAGTTATTTGTTTATCAAATAATTACTTGTTTATATATTGTTTTATCTAAATTGTTTTTTTTTATTTATTAATGCCGGTAATAATTTATAATTAAAATTTTTATTATGTACTTAATTTGCAGCTTAATTCATAAAAGAGAAAAAAATGATAAAACTAACGCTTACAGAACTGACAAAGCATATAGAATTAAAAATGAAGCCTCCTTTTCTAACGCCAGCCTATTCAAGTAATGAACTTGAGTAAACCAACCAATGTAAGAATGCCTTTATGATGAAAGAAAACGTGTACGTGTAGGGGAGAATGCGCATTTACTATATGGAAAACCGACATAGGCAAGTAGACACAATAGAGTTGAGAAGTGGACTTAGGTTTTATGAAAGAATGTTCAATTCTTAATATTTGTTGCATAACTTTCAAAGAAAGCAAATCTATCCTCAGAAATAATTAACATTATTGATTATTGTATGACGTGATTGCTAAAAAAATCCTTTTAGATATGCTAATGTATAACAACCCTTTTTGTAGTCCTAAATATATGCTTAGGTAGGTACTATATAAACAGGTTACATATTTCAAAATGTTATTAACGTCAAAATCAGGTAAATCCATATTCAAAAGGTATTTTTGTTATTTAAGAACGTAAGATTTTTATTTTATAAGTATGATTTATTTGATTTTTATTAGTTATATATACATATATGATTTGTTTATATATACATATATGATATATCCAATTATAAATGTTGTTCAAACACATTTTTATAATTTAACTTTCAACTATGCATATTGGTTTTTACCTTAATGTGCTGAAATACATGAATTACTAAAATTTAAAAAATAATTCAATTCATATGTTCAATGGCTTCTAGGAGTGCCGTTTGTGCACCAGATTTTAAAAATATGTACAAAAACTTCAAGGCACTGGGAAGAGATAAATAATCTGAACAGGATTTTTTACTTATATTATGCATTTAATCAAATATGTAACTGACGCTATTTTATATTATGTTATCTGTGATAAACTAACTCATATTTGACTAACTTTGAAAAAAGGAAGAACTCAAGTTTTTAGTAAAAGCGTTATAATATTGGACTACCGTCAGATAACTCTGTTACGGCTATTTTTAGGGCATTGATTATAGTGAATATAAAATAAATTGCACTAGGCGAAAGAAATTATATAAATAATTATGTAAAAATCAATAAAATTACCTACATTAATATAGAGAAAATAATTTAATATTTTAGATTACTAGCGCCATCTAGTGCTTCATTGTATTTTTACTATATAAAACTAAGGAATTAATTTAGCCCAGCTTCAATAGGTGGCAGTGCTACGCCACTAAATACTTTCGATGCAAGAATATAGAGGGCACTACAACAAAAAAAACAATGTATTAAATTTCGGAATAGAAAAGAATTATATTATAATCATATTATTTTTCTTTATTATAAAAATTATTAATAAACATCCTGAAGAAATAAATAAAAAATATGAAAAAATGTTTGAGCTTGTGTAATATTCTTTGTGTTTTGTTACGATTGCATTGATCAAATGATAATATTAAGATGAAAGTTTGTCAACAGTTCTCCGATGATATAGAACTATTTTACCCGACTGCAAGGAAAGGGTTATATTTTTCGCGCCTATCTTTGTATGTTTGTTCTTTATTCCCTCATATCTTCCAAATCACTCAATGGATTTCTTTAATTAAGGTATCGTTAGATTCGTCTCATTAGTCCAAGTATTCTTAGATAGGTAACATAAAAAAGTGGGGGCTGCTAGATTCCATAATGTGAGAAAGAAAAAAATGAAAATCGATGAACTATGTTAAGTGGGGTATCGGTAAATAGGTATTTAAAAATCAATTTTAGGTTTCTTTCATAACTTTTCATTTTAAATAACGGTTTAGGATATATAATGATTTAAAGTTGGTCAACAACCATTCTCGCTGATTTTTCTACTTAAAAATACTTAAAAAGCTGTAAATAAATAAATTTATTACACACGTTTCATCCTTGCCGCGAGATGTACATACTCGTATGTATCTTTATATATATAATTCTTCTGTGAGTGTGTATGTCACTGAACTTCTCTCAAACGACTGGACCGATTTTGTGTGTGTTCAAGGGGATCTGGGAATGGTTCAGATTCACAATTTGAATAATAATTTTCATCAAAAAAATTATTAAAAAAAGGTTGAAATTTTCAAATTAAAGACGTGTAGACAGGACAACGTCTGTCGGGTCCGCTAGTATATATATAATACTATATTCCTTCGTCAACTTATTTTCATCTTCTTAGTTAGCTTTTATGCAGTCGGTTTTTTATTTTTATAATATATTTATAGTTTAAGCCTTAAGGTAATGCTGCCCATAAGTTGTAAGTACTTCTGTTGGCTTTAAATTGAAATTACAATAACCAACTAAGTAGTCTTTATGTCTCAACTCTTTAATTCTGATGCTGCTGTAGGGGTTATGTTTGAATGTTGTTTGTTAGTAAAAGCATTTCCAAACATTAAAAAAATCGGTACTGTTTGAAAAAACTTAATTTAAAAAAAAAATTCTAAATACACGCAACAATTTTATTTAACAACACTATTTTTGTAAAATTTCTTCTTTTATCATTAAAAGTAATTTATTTTAACTATAAAATTTAATTGACCTGTGCTATATATATATATATATATATATATATATATATATATATATATATATATATATATATATAATAAGGCTATACATAAATCTTATCTTTTGAAAAAACCTTCTTCATAATGTATTGCAATATTGGCATGGATTGGCGTGATATTGGAACATAAATAATGTGCACACGGCGCGGGGACATTAGTGTTATCTGCCCTATCAATTATGCCACGCGGTCACTGACAACCTACCAAATAAAATGTAAAAAAAATGGTCATATATGTTAGTATATTTTTTCTATCTAATTCTAAGGGGTACAATGTTTGAGGAAATCAAAAATGAAATAGAACATCTTAAATAAAACTATCTTTTCGTATTATTTCGCGGATTTATTTTGATTTTTGGTTACCGACGTTTCGAATGCTTTACAGCATCCATGGTCACGGGAGAGACTGAGGTTATAGACGTCTCAAACACATACTTGTTGTTTTATTTAAAATGTCAAATATTCGCGTAAATCTAAGAAAGTGTTAATGAAACAGAACTTATAAAAATATATTTTTTTAATCTGTCTGTCTACAAGTATATCAATGCAATAGTTTAATGCTATTTTTAAGCTTATTAGTTATAAGTTCAAAATATTTTTTTTTCAGTACCTGTACCAAATCCATTAGTCACAATTTATAGATAGACGAGTATTATATGCCTATCACGTAATATAAATTTTATTTGATAATAAATCAATTTATATTTATTTTAATGCATTTTACCTCTCTCGATCAGTAATAAGTAGAGTTAGCTAACCTACCTAACTGTAGAGATATCTTTTCTTTTGTTCTTATATTGGGTATGTATTGTATTCAGCCCTTTTTTTTTTAACGTCCCACTGCTAGGCGCGGGCCTCCCTTCAATACGAGGGGGATCAGGCCATAGTCCGCCACGCTGGCCAAGTGCGGGTTGGCGGACTTCACATGTCTTTCGAAAACTTGCTAAGTTCTCTCAGACATGCAGGTTTCCTCACGATGTTTTTCCTTCACCGTAAGGCAAGTGGTAATCATGTTAGAAATGATTCGCACATGAAAATATCAGAGGTGCGAGACCCGGGATTTGAACCCGCTTCACTCGGTTTCCCAAGCGAGCGCGCTACCACTGGGCTACCACTGCCTATAAATATTGGGTATTCTTTGCTTACTTCATAAAACGAAAACTGTAATTATTAATTTGTATAGCGGGAGTTTCGGTAAATTAGTTAACCTATAAAATTACACGGATTACGACCGGACGGACGACTTTAAATACACGTAATTATCACTTGAAATTTTACGATCACGATGCTTCGCGTATTTTATTTTTCGTTCCGAGCTTATTTATTAATTAAGACCCTAGGAATTTGATTATATTTTTTATTAATACAGTTAATATCATAAATTAAAGTAATAAATTGTAGTAAAACCATATAAGGATATACATAGATGACTATATTTTAACTTCATTATGTTTTGAATGTTGCAATTTGTTTGATATATTTTTGGTAACCGTCTGCAGTAATATTAAATAAAATTGTATATTTAAGATTTCTTTATAACTTCGATATATGTGGTTACCGGACATATTTTTCACGAATAAATGAAAAAATATAAATTAGTGGCAAATGATATGAGCCACGATCAAGTAGAATACATTAAACATTTATTATATGTCTATACATATAATAAAAGTGTAACAGATGTTAAAATAAGTGATATAAAATTCGTTTCGTAAAACTAACATAAAATACTAAGTATTAGATCCAGAGATCTAAAGAAATCTTTGAAATCGCATTCTTTTCTTTTCATATAAGTAGGAAACTTACTAAAATCGTAATTTTAATTTAAAAAAAATACAGAATAATCTTACGACTTTCAAATATATCAATAGAACCTAATTTCCGTAGCGCCCTCACACCCTATATAAATCACGTTATCCCTCTGATCGAGATCGCCTCATCAACATACTAATGCGTCGCGCCAGATGTTGCCTGCCTAATGAGATCGGCTAGACT